AAGAAAACGAAATTAACAAAGAACTCCAAGACATTGCAGAATTCCCGGTATATCTTAGCCTACAAGAAAAGGAAATCCTTAATATAGAAGACCACATACCAAGAGTAACACTGAAACGACTAGATGGTCAAAGATATGCGAGATATTAAATCTGAACAAGCAGACGATCTCGAATCGTCAACATTTATTCAATTTCTCACATCCGGGGAGATCCCAAAGGAAATTCCTCCACTAGAAAAGGAAAATTTTACAATAGCAGCAAACCTTAAAATATCCAATGGAATACTTTATCAAAGAACTCCTGGTCTAAAACCTTGTCTCTTTATACCAGCCTACTCTTCTCTTTATACCAGCCTACCTCTTCTCTTTATACCAGCCTACCTTAAGGCACTCATCTTTGACTCTTCACTCATTCCAACTTAAAGGGAGGCAAAAATCTGATATATTAAGATGGACACGCAACTGCATAACTTGCCAGCTAAGACATTCACCCAATCCACCCTATAGGGCTGAAATGCATATGGTCCCGTCTAACACTTTATTTGCGAAAGTTAGATTAGATCTGGCAGGACCCTTTCTACAACCCAAAAAGGCAACAAACATTTAATGAATATTATTTGTTGGTTTACAAAATATGAATAGCAATTCCGGTTCCTGACAAGAAAACAATAACTAGCTCGCGCATTTCTCACAAACTGTTATCTGAAATTTGGAGGATGTATAGAACTCATAACAGACAATGCTTCTGCATTTATGAGTGAATTTTTCAGAGATTTTTGCTCAATGTTATATATAAATAAAAGTTATGCAACCCCTCACTGGTCACAAGGAAATTCCGTCACTGAAAGTTCCTTTAGAACCTTTCATAATATTATTTCCAAATATATAAGTAAAGACCAACCCGACTATGATGAACTTATAGATTATGCGAGCTTCTGCTATGACACTTCTATTCACTCATCCACTGGGGAAACACTTTTTCTTGATGTTTGGCAGAGATCCGATATTTTGCATAGACCAATTCCTTGACCCATCAGTAAATTCTATGGTAACCAATGACATGTCAGAATTTAAGCAAAAGCCAGTCACGTAGCTAAGAAAAGCTTTGGAAATAGCAGCAGATAAAAATAAGAAATCCCAACTAAAGTCCCAATGAAGAACAATAATCCCAAAATCCCAACTAAGAACAATACGATAAATTGCTGAGGAACCCCACTATAACTGTAGGGGATAGAGTACTTCTAAGAAATTATGCAGGGAGAGTAGAGACTTCAAAAAAGTTTCACATTCCGTTGAAAGAAATTTTTAGAGCAATAAAAATAGAAAGTTCACATTTAACTATAACTAGCTGCAACTCACCGAACGCACCCACTAGAATAGTCCATATTAATCAATTAAAGAAATGCTTTGATAACCAACACCTGCTTGTACAAGTCCCAATTTACTTTATGAAGAAATAGAAAGTCTAAATAAAGCAGAAAAGGAAATAAAAGGAACACTTTACGAGTCAAGGTTGCGAAAATCCTGAGATAGCTGAAAAAAGGATACAAGGGAGCCAAGCCCAAACAAAAATAAATTAAAAACCTCACCCATAAGACAAAAAGGATACAATCTCAGAGCAAATCCAAAGCCAAGAAAATTATCAATAGCTAATCAATCCGGGTAACTGAGTAAAAAAAAAACATACACTTCTGGCACTTTACAAAATAAACCCATCCAAATTTAAAATCTTACATTTTTTTCACTCACAAAATTCCAAATTTTATAACCATTTTCAAAATTTCGCGTATAGCCTATTTCATTACTTAATTTTAAATTAACTTTCTTATTTTTCATAAGGCGGTAAATAACATTCGAAGAAAAAGCCTATGTTTTTTACAAAATTTCCTGGTGTAAATGACAACATTAGTGCTTCGGCATTAAATAAACAATCAAAACCTAAGTGCTTCGGCATTGAATAAAGAATCAAATATCAATGCTTCAGCATTAAATAAACAAAAACTCAGTGCTTTGGCATTAAATTAACAAAATATCAGTGCTCCGGCATTAAATTGAAAACAAAAAAGAAAGAATTCATGGAGCCGAAATTTACAAAAAAAATTTTCACGTCGAGGGTCCGACGCGAAGGGCATGGGAGGCAAATCGGAGTAATAAATTTCAAATGTGCCCAACAACTAATTGAAAAGCAAAGGCTCTCGCGGCCACCAAGGATTCTCCAATAACACCGAATACACTAAGGAATCAAATTTGCGGAAAACATTATGGCAGACTCTCATTGTTTCTAGTGAAATTGACGAAATGGCCAGAATTGAACAGGGCACGTTAGGATTACGCACAAAAGAAAAAATTTCCAATATAGTTTTGAAATATCTTACAACAGAAAGTGTAATGTATGGATTTAAAACAACTTTTTCCGTGCAACTGAAGTAGGGATCTAAAGCAATTGCGTAGGACACAAGAAAAACTTTCCAGACACAAAAAAAAAGTTGATTGTATTGGTGACGACGAGGACGAATTCCACAAAGGCTCCGCAGACAACCTAACCTTAGCATTCTTAAAAGACAGCAGACGCACCATTTTATCCATTTCCCGCGCACAACACGAGTAACAGTTATTGCTGACTTTAACACTATAAGTGAGAAGTGTGGTTCCGATTTATCAAAGAAGAAAGCAAGCACACCCCTAAAGTGAGTGAAAAATATTTTGATTTGAGGAGATTGAGAATCCATCAAGAGTTGAAATAATTAAAATTCGTCAAAATCCAAATTGAAAAGACTAGGGACAGTCTTCCGTGGGTTAGGAGGTGTAAGGATCAAAGGTGTAATCCTTGAGAAACTATTGAAAACTATGAAAAGCTTAAAGGTGTAATTCTTGGGAAAGTGATAGAAACCCCGCCTAGAGAGAAGGTGCATTTAAGCTAAAGGGAAATAAGGAAAAGCAGCTTAGTTGACGATCATTCCAACTTAGTTCTTCATTAATCAATGGCCTAGTGTTCGGTCGGCTATAAGCCTGACCAAGTGGTTAACCAATAATCATTCACCCCGCTCGCTTGCACTACCTCTGGGTATTCTATTCTATTCTATTCTATTCTATTCTATTCTATTCAATTCTATTCTTCGCACGCATAATCAACATCTCTCTTAATTAGGGCTGGCCCCTCTAATTAATAATTTACTCAATCTTCTCTGAAAATTTTAGAATTTTTTGGTTTTGTAACTGAGAATTTATGACTAACAAAATACAAAAAATTGACATTTTACTACTAATTTTGAGCATCTATTACCATAATTTCCCAAATACATTACTTAAAATTCTGAAATTTTTGTTCCTAATAGCTAACATCATTGGAGACTTTTATGCAAATTTTTACAAATTTTGGAGTTTATATGGCTAATTTATAACTTTTTAATAGAGCCCGGACGGAGGGCTCGGTCGATATTTTTTCGATAAATATCGAAAAATACCGAATATCGAAAAATATCGAAAAAACCAAAATTTTCTCGGTCGATATTTTTTCGATAAATATCGAAAAAACCAAAATTTTCTCGGTCGATATTTTTTCGATAAATATCGAAAAATATCGAAACCGAAAAATATCGAAAAAAAAGTCTCGATATTTTTCGATTTTTCAAAAATTTTTCTATAACCAGTGAATAACAGAATAGACCTAATTATAACAGAATAGACCTAAGTGAATAACAGAATAGACCTAAATTGAATAACAGAATAGACCTAATTTAATGAGATTAAGATTTATTAAGTCGGATTAAATGTAATATCAATGAACTTATATTTGATATTGAAGGATCAAGGGGATATAAGTGAATTTTAACTAGGGTGGATATGGATTAAGGTGGATATTGATTAAGGTGGATATTGATATCCGTTTTGAAATCCATTTCTCACAAAGCTCCGTCTTGATCCCTCGAGATCCATTTTATCCACTTAACCCTATATTAGTTATACAAATAGTCGATTACCCTGGATATCCACAATATCCGTCATGATCCTTGGATATCTCAAATATCCCACCAAATCATCGGATATCCCATCAAATTACTCTTAACCCACTAAAATCTCCCTTAATCTCCTTAAATCTCCCTTAATCTACTCCCTTAATCTATATTTGAGATATCCAAGGATCATGACGGATCTTTCTTAATTCATATCAGTGTTTTGTAGGAATATCGAGGGAATATGATGGATTAAGGGGACCTGGTTTTATGAGGACCATATAGGTATTATCACACTCTCATCTCGCTTTGGCAAACTAAATCGTGAATATAGAAGAAACCTTCCTTTTTCTTGCGCCGCAGGCGAAAATTTTTCGAATTTCCGATGGTCAAGAAGCAAAAATGCATCTTTTTGGCGCCAAAAATTCAAATTTTTGTCAAAAATGACGTTCGATATTTTTTTCGATTTTTTGTAATTTGGTCGGTCGATTGTTTCGATTTTTAAATTTTTTCGGTCGGTATTTTTTCGATAAATATCGAAAAATACCGAATATCGAAAAATATCGAAAAAACCAAAATTTTCTCGGTCGATATTTTTTCGATAATATCGAAAAATATATATCGAAAAATACCGAAAAATATCGAAAAAATATCGTATCGGTCCGGGCTCTACTTTTTAATTAATATGTATGATATGGCAACTCTCCTTCAACCCCAACAAAAATTATTTTATTAAAATTTTAAAAATTAATTTTTACTTTGTTAAGTAAGTTCCATCGAGTATTCCCAACCCTAAAATATTTTTTCTTAATATTTTTCTATTGTTTTTCCTTTTTCGTAATTGTAAAAGTTTAAATGAATCCTCCAAATGTTGACTGACTGCGTGGACAGCTTTGAGCCTTTCAGAGCTCGTTAAAAATAATTGTTTTTAATTAGAAAATAATTTTTAGTAAACTCCGCTTCCATATTCTTTTACACTCTCCTTTTGTTCAATCATTCAGTTATATTAATTCCCGATTTTCTATTTGTTTTGGACCATAAAAGGACCTAAAAAGTAGGATATTCCAAGTAGGGCATTTCATGTAGATATTTAAAACGAAAATTTACCGGAAAATAAAAAAATCCGGCCTCCAATGCCATCAAAAAAGGCACCCATTGATAATAAAAAAGTTGCCGATTTACTCTTTAAATATTTTTAATAATTTTATAAAAAAAAATTCTTTTCACCTTTCATCCACGGGACGAGGAATTTGTTCATCTGGTTTTACCCAATAAGTATTGTAAACAAAACTTTTTTTAATTAAATTTAAATATTTTTTTAAATTTTTACCAATAATTCTCTGCATATTGCTCCCATGCATGTGAAAATTCTGCTGGAACCCAACACTGGATTGGCTGGCCAACATATTGTTTTGCCTTTTTTATTTTAAAATACATATAAGAGAATTAGGAATTTGTTTATTGAATTTATAAAAAATTTTTGAAAAATTTTTTTGAAAATCCTTAGAAAATTTTTTTTATTTTTATAAAAATTATTTTTTTTTATTTTAGCTCCAAAAAAATTCCGAAATTCACTGTAAGTGTAACAGATAATCCAATAATAATCATAGAAGTATAATAATAATTAAGTCGGTCAATTAAAGTGTCATCCTTTCTAGGCTTTATAGTTGTTAATGCGCTGCCCAGAAAATTCATTTAAAAAAAGATTTTTTTTGAAAATTTAATTTTTAATAAAAAATAAAGGAAAGAATATGTTATGTAAAAAATTGAAAATAATTATTTTTTATGTTTAACTAGTTTTGTATTTATTGTTTAAACATCATTTTAAATTTTAAAGAACAAAGACACTCTAAAAATATCAGAATTTTTTGTAATAATATTTTTAGTATTTTCCAAAGCATAATATAGTAAATAAGAAAAACAGAATAATTAAAATTCAGAATATTTTCTTTTTTCAGAATTAATACAAAAATCAGAAATTAAAATACAAGAACAGAAAGAAAAGTTAAAAATCAGAATATAATTAAATTTCAGAATTATTTCTCTTCTTTAAGTAACATAAAAAAATCAGAATTTTAAAAATCAAAATAACTATGTAAAAGTACATTTTTTATTCTGAAACACTGTGGAATAATAAAATAGAAAACCAGAACTAAACATGCTTCAATTCTTCACACTTTTGCTTCAACCTTGCTCTGTTTTGTTTAATTTTATTTTTTTCTTCAATTCTCTTTTAATTTTTTTACTCGAGAATACAACTAAAATAAAAAATTATTTAATAAAAAAAACAGAAACACCCTACAACAAACTCCAACCGTTTACAACCTTCCACTCCGCTATAAACTGTTCCCGACGCCTTTTGGGCACCAGTTCCTAGTCTAGAGTTTCAGTCCTTTTTGAGTACTTACTCCTCGTTAGTGTGGGGAAACGGCATCTGTGAAGGTGTTTAGTCCAAATAATTTAATTTTACATTTTATTTATGTTCACTTTTATTCACAAAAATATTTAACGGGGTGTAAAAAGGAAATTTAAAAGAGAGAAAGAAAAAAGCTTCAAATTTTTATATATAATTTTTAATATTATACTTTTATGCTTCATGTTTGATGCCTACAAAAATGTTTTAAGTTTGTTAAAAAAGTTGCTTCAAGTTGCTTATTAAATCAACTTTTTTCCAAGTTTATTTAAATTGATTAAAAGTTTCAAGTTTATTAAATTGACATGATTCAAGTTTTATTAAGATTTAAGTTTGCTCAAGTTTATTTAAACCAAAATTGTTTCAAGTTTATTTTCTATTACATGTTTATTTAATTTCTCCGCCTAATTAAATTAAAATATTTTGCTTCAGTTTTATTTTCAAAAATTCTAAAAACCTTTAAAAAAAATTTCTCTCACTTTCCCCAATCTCACACCACTTTTCTCTTTTATCTTCCAACTCATTTAGTTGGGATAAAAAAAATATCCCCGTAGGCTTTGCAATGCTAGCAACAACTGTCCCCCCCCCCTTTGCTTTTTTCCCTTTCAATATTTCTTCTTTTCATTTGCTTAAGCTCTATTTGCCAACAAATGGTAAGTATTATAGTAATAGTATATATAGTCAATACGTAAAGCACACAAAAATGGGTGGTGGTTAAATGAATTTTTTTCTTGTCGAGACCAAACAAAAAAAAATTTTTATTGTTTACCTTCCGATATTTATTTTTGATTATTTAAATATTAATTTGCTTCAAATTTATTTAAAATAAAAATTGTTTCAAGTTTTATTAAACTTATTTACATTCCAAGTTTATTAATACAAATAAATTATTAAGAACTTGCTTAAGTTTTATTTTATTTTCCAAATTTATTAAATAAACTTATATTTTATTAGAACTTATTTTGCTTCAAGTTTATTAAGTTGTGTCAAGTTTATTTATACAATTAATATATTTATTTAAATAAAACTTGCTTCAAGTTTTATTTAAAATTAAGATTTTAAGCTTTTTTGCTTCACTATAATTTTTATTTAATTTTTGCTTATGCCTAAATTTTTTTAATTTTTTTTTCATTTTCTAATTTAAATATAACCAACAATAAAGCAATAAATTATTTTACATATTTCCACTCTTGTTATATATTTTATGCAAATAATTGCCCACCATTTTCTCTTCATAACCTCGTGTTCTGGAAAAGCTTTGACTGCTTTTTCTCCCATTGTTTACATGCATTTATTTGTTGTAATTTATGGATTGTTTTTATTTAAATTTTAGAGATTTCTGTAAGCTGGAAATTTGCTTCGATTTTTTTTTAGATTTTTGCTTTAATTTTTGTTTTTAATTTTTGCCTCATTTTTTACTTAATCTTTTGCTTCATTTTTTAATTCGTTTTTTTGCTTCTATTTTTATCTTTTAACTTTTATTCCATTCTTCTATCTCAAATTTTCCTAGTTTTATTTTCAAATATTTCTTTCCTTTACATATAAATTTATGCTTCATTTTAACTTCAATTTTTTATCATTATTTATAAGCTTTTATTCTACCTCATCTTTTGCCTCATTTTTTATAAGAATATTTATTTTTCTCGCTATTTTTTCTTGTAAGGATACGTCGGACCTCTACTTACATATTTACCCATTTTTTATATTTTTTCAGCGATTCACCCAAGCGTTTCTTTTTTAGTTAAGCCGCCGACGGCACTTCTCCCTTGATGCATCTTTACTTGAGTCTTGGACTTTTGAAAGGATTAGGAACTTTTATTTAATATTATTTTTTTATCATTCGAGAAAGTCTACAGAATAGTAGTGAAAAATAAAATTTAAAAAAAATTTTTTTAATAAAAAAGTCAAAACTTTTTGGTTAAAATGACATTTATTTGGTTGCATCTTTTGTTTCCCTTTAATTAAAATTTTCTTTTTAAATTTATTTTATACCTAATTTAATTTTCTATCGAATAATACCTAAATTATTTTTAAAAGTTCAGCAATTCTTGAATTATAAATTTTTGACTCGACTGTGTTTTACTCCTTATTTTTTTTGTTAAGCTGCCGAAGGCTTTTTTTACCCCCTTTTCCTTCCCCCAATATATTTTACCTTTTTTTCCTATTTTTAACTAAAAAGCCTAGCCTTTCCTGGTCAATGTCAATCCTTCCTTCTGTTTTTCCAATGACTTTTACTTTTATTTTACTCAGCTGTCAATAAAAAATGGCAAAAATGAAAAAAATTGGGGGAAGAAAAGTACAAATAACTTTTAATTTTATTTTTTTTATTTCAATTACTTCTTGTTTCATTAACGCATTTTTTGTTTGTTAATTTTTTAAAAAAGTTAATTAATTAATTGAAAATTGAGCATTTTTATTCATTTTTCTTTAAGTATTGTCCTTCCTTAATAATAGCCTCACTTCTAGCTTCATCGAACATCTACTAAACCTTTAGAGATCTTTTCGATATAATTCTATCAAAAATTGAATTTACTATAAAATAAAATTTAAATTCAAATCTTGATCAGAAAATGACCTTTAATAGGGGGTTTTCGGTAAAAGGTTTTTCGGCCACTTCTTTTCCTCCTCTTTAGCTAAAATTTTTATTTTATTTCAACGCTTTATCAATTATAATTTAAAATAACTTTAAAATTTTCATTTATTTTAATTTTTTAAGCCCAAACAAAATTTACTTATAATTTTAATATTTTAATTTTTTTCTCTTTTTTTATGTTTAATTACCTCGTTTTGAATGTATCAAAACACTAACGAGTCTACAGCAACACCTCCAATTAAGGTGAATGGAGGAGCAGTTGTTGCTGATGGGAACACAAAAACTTATTCAAATCAGCAACTACATCAATCCTCGCCTGTTGTTGTCTTAAATAATAATGTTGGGCAGAATTTGAATGGTTAATTAATTAATTTTTAAAATTAAAATTATGAAAAAAGGGGCATGCGAGGGGTAATAAAAGAAAGAAATGTATGAGAGAGGGATATGAACGGTTAGAGACTCTTAGGTGATGGTCAATGTCCAATTCATAAATTTAATATCATTTAATAAAGCATAAAATTTCTTATAAAACATTCAAAAATCTAAATTTTGATTTTCTGTTGAAAAAAGTTATGATCATAAATGTGCTAGAAAAGGGCGTTTTTTGTAGGTTTTTAATCACAACGTTTTTGTCATATGACTTGGAATTTTCATTTTGGATTTATTTTATAGCAAATTTTATTCTCTATTGAATGATACTAAATTATTTAAAAAAAGAAAATTCATCCCAAAGTATTTGAATTATTATTCATCGAGTCACAACTAACCAATTCTTTTAATTAAAAAAATTAATTTAAAGGTATCCAACACCAATTAGAAGTTTTTCCCAGTTCCTCCACTGCCCCTCCTCCTCCTCCTCAACAACTTCAATTAATTACTCCTTTCGTTCCTTGTATAGCTGATGAATTACGAGAGTTGATTGATGAGATGCGTATGTTCCGAAATTTTTTTAGAAATTTGAGAACACTTTCCCTTCAAAAACAGGTTCTCGAGATTTTGACTCAATTCGATTTGCCACATACCGGACTGCTTGTAAACTAAGATTTATTCAGATAAAAACAAATGGTTAATATTTTATTTTAAATTTTATTTTTATTTTTTTAAGTTCATCTTGTTGATATTTGGAATATGATTGAATCTTTTAGAGAAAATGGACTTAATGCAATTGCTAGCAATGGAAATTTAAAAGTTTCGAGGCTGGAACTTTTATTAACCAGCATTTTTCATAGTGAGGGAACTTTTATTTAATTAAAAAAATAATTTTTTTAAGATTTGAACAAACGTTTACCTGCTAGTCAGCAAGTAGATACTGACAGGTAAAATTAATCTTTAAAAAATAAAATTTTTTTTAATTTTGTAGGGCAATTGCTACACTTTTGCATTTCTTGTTAAGTGCCTATGACCGGTCTGTATTTACTCAGAATATTTCCC